TCACTCCTGCCCCCCAGCCCTGCAGCTGAGCCCTGCCGGTGCCCCTCACTCCGCCCCACAGCCCCAGTCCTGCCGGTGCCCCGCACTCCCGCCCCACAGACCCTGCCCCCCCAGTCCTGCCGGTGCCCCTCACTGCCACCCCATTCACCCCACATCGGGCCAGGCCTGAGCAGGGCCAGCAGGACCCAGATGGTGGGGTCCATCAGCTCTGGGTGATCCGTGTCCCACTCCTGGGCGGGAGCGGGGGTGGGTCGTGGTTTGTGCCTCCGGGGCTGACTCAGGGGCTGGGGCCTTTATCGTTGCATCCCAGACTTCCGTCACCGCTTCCTTTGGCCCCCCCATGGCGTTAACTCTGAAACCTACTGACAGTCGCCTTCCCCCCCTGCAGGTTGTGCCTGCAAACACCTCACCCCACAGCCACGACGTGCCCCTCACCCGACTGCCCGCCGTGAGCTGATGTGCCCCCACCTGCCCTATTGACAAATGCTGGCCAAGAACCATGTGGCAGGCAGTTCCCCAGGTGAAATCACACGCGCCTGAAACCAGACTTGTCCCTGTGTAGCAACCAACTTCCCCGCCCTCTGGGAACCGGCCGGAGCCAGCTTTAACGGGAAAGGAGACGGGTGCTCTTCTGGGAGTGCCCCAGGCTCGTTATAGGCAGTTGCTAGTGGCTGTGAGTTCCCCAGGCTAACGACCCATCGCCCAAGGGCATCCCCTATTGTTGTGATCACAGCCTGGTGCCGAGAGATCTCCAGGCTCATTAAGGCGATAACCCGGAGAGCTGCCCCCCAGAGGTGGCCGCATCACCCCAAGCAGACACACACCCGGAGTACAAAAAATACCTTCTTTACTGTTAGTTTCTCTAGCACGGGGGCCCCCAGAGGCAGGGAGCGGGGGCGGATTTACAGCGTGGGGCAGGCAGGGCCGGGTTCACACAGTGGGGAGGAGGGCCCGCGCCGTGTAAAACAAACGGGGGGGGGGGGGGGGGCGGGGGTGGGGG